CCCATCAGGTAAATTTAAATTTTAAAAATATAACAGCGCCATCTATCACCCATCAGGTAAATTTAAATTTTAAAAATATAACAGCGCCATCTATCACCCATCAGGTAAACAACTCCTTTTTTAGTTTCTCTACACACCACCAGATGGCGCCACATGAATTTTGAATTTCAAATTTCCCACCAAATTTCCCGCGCTGTGACGTCACTTCCTGCACATGCGCAGGGCGCAGGGGCGCAGGGAACGCAACTTCCGCTTCAGAACTCTCATTATTATACTACTATCAACTACAAAGATGCAAGTTCCTACAACATCATCATCATCATCATCTACTACTACTACTAAACGCTGTCGAGATTCAACATCACCGCCACTTTCAGTTAACAAGAAGAATAACAAAGGTGCGATATGTGAGGTTTGTGATGAATTTTTACCATCACTCACCTCGCTTGAAACCCATCTTCGAGCGAAACATGTTGAATTAATTGACAAGAATATTGAAAAAATGATGTCTTGCTATAAAAATAGGGTAGTTTGTTATAAAATTAGTGGAGCTCAATCTGATGATGATGATATACCATCATTTTTATTGAAATGTTGTGAAACAGTCAACAGACTGATTGAACAGCATCTCGGTGAATATGGTTCGATTAAAGCTCAGATTGAGTTATTAGCTATTTTTATTAAGTCCGGGTTTGATGAAGATGGTAATGAAGAAATTATTGCGTCAGAAAAAAATTTTAACACCAAATTTAAAATAATTACTCCATCTACTGTGTTGAATGAGGTATATGATGAGATGACGCATGATATTTTAACCCAAAGCGAGGAGTTTCAGGAGCGTGGGTCGGGGTGGGCTTTCTACTCAATATCTCACCTACTCCTTAACATTAACAAATTTCAACCTATACCAGGGTCATCATATATCCGTTTACCTCAAGAAATCGCTAATAAAAGGCATGCATCAATATTAAAAACTATGAAGACGGTGCATGTCTTGCATGGTGTTTGACGGCGGCTCTTCATCCCGCGAACCTTCATCAAGACCGGACTTCGAGCTACCCTCATTATAGTCAAGCACTTCATTTGCAAGGGATTACATTTCCCATTATTTTAAAGGATATTATTAAAATAGAAAAATTAAATAATTTAAGTATTAATGTGTATGAATTAGTTCAGAATTTAGATAAGTATGCGGTGGAAGGACCAATTTATTTTACGAAACAAAGACGCGAGATTCATATAAATTTGCTTCATCTATACGAAAACGGTAAGGGTCATTTTGTATTAATTAAGAACCTATCCAGGCTTATATCAAGTCAGTGCACGAACCGTAACGGCTCTATACACCTTTGCGATGGATGTTTAACGCGATTTTCATCAAACGAAAAATTGATTGCGCATCAAAATCATGATTGCAATCATATCAAAACAATTATTCCCACAAAAAATTTAAAATCAAATCCTAATTTTTTCGGTTTATATACCCCCGAAAATATTTTAGAATTTAATAATTATAAATTCACACAGATGGCTCCGTTCGTGATTTATGCTGACTTTGAATCGATTCTACAACCCATCAACTTTTGCGAGCCCAATTCATCCAAATCTTTTACCGAAAAAGTTGAGATGCATCAGCCCTACAGTTTCGCTTATTACATCGTTTCCACCGTTGATAGCAGTTTCAATAAATTCGAAACGTATACGGGACTCGATGCATCTAAAGTTTTTATTTCAAAATTACTCGATGATGTCAAATTTATTTACGACAAATACTTCAAAACCGTAAAACCAATGCTACCTCTAACGATCGATGAGCAACAGAATTTCGATTCGGCTGAAAATTGTTTTATTTGTCAAAATCCTTTCACATCCGATCAGGTTAAGGTTCGCGATCATTGTCACATAAGCGGTAAATACCGCGGCCCCACCCATTCAAACTGTAATCTAAATTTCAAACTTCAAAACATTATTCCAATATTTTTACACAATTTTAGTGGTTACGATTGTCATTTATTTATTAAAGAAATGGCTGATGTGGATGAAGATGGACTTGATGTATTACCGAACAATAAAGAAAACTACATTAGTTTTAGTAAAAGAGTGTTGGTCGATAAAGTAATTGATGAAGACAGATATGTTGAAAATATTTTTTTAAAATTAAGATTTGTGGATTCATTTAGATTTATGGCATCTTCATTAGATTCTTTAGCTGGTAACCTAGAAAAATGTGACTTTATCAATATACGTAAATTCTTTCCACACATTGAACATTTTAAATTGCTAACAAAAAAGGGAATATTTCCATACAATTATATAACCTCTTTTGATAAACTTAATGATACCTCACTACCACCTAAAAGTATGTTTTACAACAAATTAACTTTAGAAGATATAAGTGATGAGCAATATTTACACGCTCAACGTGTATGGAAAGAATTTAATTGTCAAAACTTAAAAGAATATTCCGACTTGTACTTAAAGACTGATGTTCTTTTATTAGCTGATGTTTTCGAGAAATTTAGACGTGTATGTTCTAAAACGTATGGTTTGGATCCGGCTCATTATTATACGGCACCGGGACTTTCTTGGGATGCTATGTTAAAATTTACGAAAATTAAATTGGAATTGTTAACGGATATAGATCAAGTTCATTTCGTTAAAAAAGGTATCCGTGGGGGTATTTCACAATGCTCCCTACGACATGCTAAAGCAAACAATAAGTATATGGAAACTTATGATGCTAATTCACCCTCAAAATTTTTAATGTATTGGGACGCTAATAATTTGTATGGGTGGGCGATGTCTCAATTTATGCCCGTTTCCGATTTTAAATGGATATCTGAACACGAAATAGAAAATTTAGATTTTAATAATATACCTGATATTGCCGATTTTGGGTATATTTTAGACGTTGATATTGAATACCCCGAAATTTTGCACGATCTACATAATGATCTCCCGTTCCTAGCTGAAAACCTACTACCACCTAACGGTAAATGTGAAAGTGATAAAAGATTAATTCCAAATTTAGGGTCTGATGGGCGATTTACATAAAATTTTTTTAAAAATTAAAACATTGTTCTGTGAACATACTGCTGGAGAGCCGATATGAAATCAATGTGACGTCTGCGCATGCGCGCGCAGGAAGTGACGTCACAGCGCGGGAAATTTGAAATGCATGTGGCGCCATCTGGTGGTGTGTAGTGAAACTTAAAAACATGTCATGTTGGTTGCCTACGTCGTGAGGCGCTACCTAGCGGTGGATGGTGGAAGTAACGCCAAACGGCGGTGGATAGTTAAGCGGGGGCCTGATGGGCGATAGATAGCGCGTAAATTTTTAAAAATTCATGCGACCTTATAGAATTCAGATACAATTAATATAAAAAAGGTTTCGGTGGTGTAACTTAACGGAATATACATAATACTTACTTGTTATAGGAATTGAACTGATAGCTGCAAGGAGAAATCTAGAAACTTTAAAGTCAATAAACCACCGAAACCTTTNAAATTTATGCGCGCCATCTATCGCCCATCAGACCCCCGCTTAACTATCCACCGCTAGGTGGGCGCGCATCGTCTATCCACCGCCGTTTGGCGTTACTTCCGCTAGGTGACGTCCCGTGAAGTAGGTAACCAACATCCACCACCCACCGCTAGGTGACACCTCACGACGTAGACAACCAACATGACATGTTTTAGTTTCACTACACACCACCAGATGGTCAACATAGCGTTAGTTCCACCACCCACCGCTAGGTGGCGTCTCACGACGTAGGCAACCAACATGACATGTTTTTTAGTTTCACTACACACCACCAGATGGCGCTACAAGCATTTCAAATTTCCCACGCTGTGACGTCACTTCCTGCGCGCGCATGCGCAGACGTCACAGGGGGATTAGGGGGATTAACTTCCGGTCGGGAACTCTCGTTTTTACACTACTTCTGTTGTTTTTTTATTTCTATTTTGTTCCATTTCTAAATGCTCCCCTTGGCCCTTGTCCTAGGAGGGGAAATTTGTTCGCCACGATCAATCCGGTCACACCACACCCACTATCGCTATTTTCGCTAAAATTAAGCGTTTAAAATAACTATATACACCACTAAACTATTGTATCGCGGTCTCTTTCCGCTATAGAATAAGTACACAGTAAACTCAATTCTATTTTCACCTTTTTTACTCTTAAGAAAATTACTTTTCGCGGAGCATACAGTAGCAGCCGTCCGTCACCGACGAACCTCCAACTGCGACTGAACCCAACCCAACCCAACCCAACCCCATCTCTTCCATGTTGGTTATTATTTCGTTGACAGCCCTTTGCGCTCTTTCTTCTATCTCTTCCAGCTTCCATCCTGAGACCACTATAGCCACGTCGTCAGCGTATGCTATAATTCGGGTATTGTCCTCTTTCGTCCCCTTTTCTAGAAGCTCGTTAAAAAACACGTTCCATAAGAGGGGGCCAAGAACTGAGCCCTGCGGTACCCCTTTTGTTAGTTCATACTTATATCCTTCAAAGTCAATATATCTTTCGTTCAGATAGTCATCGATTACCTTCACTAGATATGGGGACACCTTTCTCTTTTCTAGAGCAGATATAACGTTTTCCCATGGGGCAGTTCCGAAGGCATTTTTTACGTCAATAGCGATCATTAAACATTTCATCTTTTTTCCTCTTCTAAACTTATCACATTTCTTTGCCTCCTTCAAAACTTCCTCAATCGCCTGGACAGTGGATTTGCCCTTTGTAAATCCAAACTGATCTTTTGACATCTCCCCTCTCTCTTCCAATTCCATATTTATTCTGTTTTTAATTAATTTCTCATAGATCTTCCCATAATTATTAAGTAGGCAGAGGGGTCTGTACTTTTTGTCTTGCGTGGTACCTGGCTTTTCTATTAGCACCAGCCTTCCACACTTCCATCTCGCTGAGAACGTTCCCTGTTCTAATAGCCTATTGTACATATCTGTCATCTTAGAAACGCCTACCTTCACCGTGTCTTTTACAATTTCAGTTGTTATATTATCTGGACCTGGCGCTTTCCCATTTTTAAGCTCTTTTACTATCTCAGCTAGTTCTTCATTTTGCACACGTGTTATACTTGGCCCCCCCCTGTAGCAACTTGTCTGTCTCTACTTTGTAATATTCCTTTTGGAAATAGCTCTTCTAGGAGTGGTTCGATTTCCTCAGACGGTATTTTTGTTTGGTTAATATTTCGGGTCCTCTTCACGGCTATTATATAGGCTTCCCCCCACACGTTTTCTTCTAGCTCATTACACAGGCGTCGCCATGCATCTTTTTTAGCTCTTTTGATCTCTCTCCTCATTTCTTTTTTGCCTCTTTATACCTCCTCTCTGCCTCGTTTCTTTCACCCTCTTCCCCTTTCCTCGCATATATCCTCGTCATGCTCCTACGGCATCTGTTCGCCCTTTCTCTGGCCTCTTTTGTGTCTTTATTCCACCAGTAAACGGCTCCCTTTTTATTTTTACTTGGTTTCTTTTTACCGTAGGCCTTATCGCATGCTTTAATTGTAGCATTTTCTAACCATTCTGGATCGATAGCTTCTCGATGGTTGAGTCTTCGTTGAAAATCTCGTATATATGCCTCCTTTTTATCATCTCTTATATGCCACCTTTCTCGCCCTGCCTGTCGCTGTCCTCCTTTCCCTCTACCAATTTCTACCTTAAAAGTGATATAGAGGTGGTCGCTAAGATTTACTTTCCATGCGGTGACGCTTTTAGCTATCTCTACATTGCACATTGTGATATCTATAAAAGATTTCTGTTCACCTCTCCTCCATGTGGGGGTCGTTCCACTGTTCATAACAACCAGGTTCCTTTCAGCCATCCACTCTTTTAGGTATCTCCCCCTTTCATCCTCCACGTGGGATCCCCATGCTGCAGATTTGGAGTTGAAATCACCCATAACGATTATGTTTTTGGTTTTATTTTGCTGCATAATGCTCGCGATATTTTCCAATTTGTTCTTAAAGTCACATAGGGGCTCATTTGGTGTAAGGTAACATCCAATAATATCTACGAAGTCCATTTTTACTATCACAAAACCACTACCACTCACAGTACCATACACAACCAAGTCATCACTTATTATTTTCACAGCCACATCACTATCACTATTTTTATACCAATTTCCACATTTAACTTTATTTTTATTTGGTTCAGACAACATCACAACATCTACACTCTGCTCACTAACATATAGCTCCACTAGATTCATCGCTTCTGTGCTTCTATTTACATTTGCCTGTAATACATTTATGTGGTACATTGCATTATTCGCCATTTCGTCTCCGTTCTTCTTTTCGTGCTAGGGCTAATGCTACTGCAAAGGCTTGACATTTTCCTGTGCCTGCCTTGTGTCCCTCCACTTTACATATTGGACAGGCTCCGTCATTTTCGCATTTTTTCTGATCGTGGTCTTTCTTTCCGCATTTATAGCATAGTTTTGTGCTGTCTGTCCCTTTGCAGTCCCTAGCTGCGTGCCCGTATTCCCAGCATTTGTAGCATTTTTCCACTACTATTCTCTTTTCAACACTGCATCTGGAGTACCCAATTTTTATTGTTTTTCCTTTCAGTAGCTTTTCTGCGTGCTTTCGTTCTGTCTTTAACGTCACCGCTTGTGTGTCACCTCTCATCGGTCTCAGATTGCTCATTTCTAGGGTTATATTTTGTTCCCCTATCTCTTCTTTTATTGCTTGTATAACCTCCTCCTATTCTATTATTGCATCCATCCCTCTTATATGTAAAGTTTCCATTTGGTCTCCTATCATTCTTACTTTCATTTTATTTTCTGTCCCTGTTTGAATTGCCAATTGCGCCTTACTAATTACTTCCTGGTTTCTGTCCGTCGTTATGAGCACCTTACCTTCTCTTGTGCTTCTTATGCTTTTTATTGATTGTTTTAAATTTTTGTCATTCAGAGCCTCCTTGATGTATTTTAGGGAGTCCTTGTATGAGCTATCCCCGTTTTCTACAACGAGCGCATATGTGCTTCGTCTGTTGGTCTCTTGCTTCGGTTGAGCAGCACTCTTTGCTATGTAAATGTTTATCTTAATGTTAGTAGAGTGGAAAATACATTCTATCATTTTTCTGTATAGGTCAGTACTCATCTTGCCCGCCAAGTGAATTGCCACTTGTTCTCCCTCTCGAAGCTCGTGCTTGAGATTCACCAATTTTTTAAAGAGGTCCTGTTTTGTACCATCATACTTAATTTTAATAATTTTCCTTGCCCCCTCTATCATTGCACTGTGTGTTCCGATCCTATACTTTTGTTCAACAAAGCCTAAATCCTCCTCAATTTCTAGGAGCTCAGGGTATCGCTCTTTGAATGCTTTCTGAATTCCTTTTTCCATATTTTTATCATCGGGCTCTATTACCGTCACTTTAATGACCTGATTTGGTGTATTTATAGGGTTTCCTATATGTATTTCAGTGTTTGTAAACACACTTTCCGCCCATGTAAGGTCTTTTAGCTCTTCATATGTACTTATTTCTTCACTTTGTTTTATTTCGTGCACATCCCTTTCTTCTTCGGTTTGTGTTCCAATTTCTCGTGTATGTGGTTTGGCCTGCACATCTGCGTCATAAGTCATTTTCTCAACATTTTCGTATGAATTTTTCTGTAACCAGTCTTTAACAGTTTTTCTATTGATTACTTCCACTTGTTTAATTAAGTTTGCGGATATTTCTTTAACTTCACGTTTCGTATTTTGCTCTATATTTGCTGTAAGCATCGCTGTCAAAATGCCAATCATACACAAAGCCTCTTTAAGAACGAAAGCTTCTGTGCTTTCTTTTTTTTGGTATGTTTCGTCATCTTCCGAAGAAATATTATGCATCTTCCTTTTTTTATTATCGGCACCAACCGAATTACTCCGCATATGGACGTACATTTGTTTTAATTTACTTGTCTTTTCTACGTGCTGTGAGCCTTTACTATCCATTTTTACCTTCTGTTTTCAAATTTAACGCTCTCTCGCGATGTTTTGCTCTGCGTCTACGTAGAGCAGCGACACAGATCCACCTGGCGCAACGGCGGCCAGCACCGCAATGTCTAGCGCTGTTATCGCACAAAGTAACTAAGGCACCCGAGGTTGCACGAACTTACCCGAGCACTTCGATAATATTAATTAAATAATTAAAAACGATTCACTTCCCGAAAAATAAAAGAGATTATTTGACAGAAAAATGATTTATCTATTGTTTATATTTGATTGGCTTTTCTTACTATTGTCCTAGATTTGTACGGAGTAGTCTCTCCGAATCGTGGAGAAATAAAATATTAAATATTTAATAGTGGAGACCAAAAAACCCCCCCCGCTTCTCTTCCTCCGCCATGTTTGAACCATCTCAACAACCGCATTCCTTTTCAGCAACTTGGGTGTCCTTGATGTCCTCCCGTTCATTCACTCTCCTCCTTCTCCATCGCACATTCACTCTCATTAAAAGGCTCCCACGCCACATGAAAACATCATATAAATCCATTACTTTTTGATTGTACTTTTGTTTACCTACCGTACCCGGTTGTGGGGGGTTTTTTTCCAAAAAACAACCCCCCAGCTCTTCTTCCATCGTGCACCCACACTTTCACCTCTTGTCTCACTCCTCCATCGAAACTATGCCCGCACGTTCATCCCTCTCTTTCTCGCCTATTACCCTTCTCACGAAGCTTTCCATTGTTCTCCAACTTTCTTCATCAGTCAGCATCGCTCTCATACTTGCAGTAGGCGTAATCTCACCATTTATCTTTGCCGATAACTTCTCCCTTTCCTTTTTCCATCTAGGGCAGTGGAAAAAGGTATGCTCGACATCGTCCCTTTCTTCGCAGTACACGCATTTATCATCTTCCGCCCTTTTATGATCAAATAGATACGCTTTAAAGCATCCGTGGCCGGACATAAATTGGCTGATGTAATAATTGGCAGCTCCCCATTTTCTGCTTAGCCACGCCGCGATATCTGGTAATATTTTCTTGGTCCATCTCCCTCGCCCGGTGTCTCTCTTCCACTCTTCCACGGTTCTCCTTCTTACTTCTGCTTTTTCGTCTGCAGCGGCTGTTCTATTCGTTATCGTTAGCTCAATGGGCATCGACTCTCCCAATACTTGTAACACCTCCGTCGAGACTGTTCTATATGAACTGGTCACTCTAATTAGTATCGCTCTTTGTATGCTATTTAGCTTTGTTAAGTTTCTTTTAATCTTTATAGCATCTTCCCATGCCCTACACGCATACAGCATTTGAGCGTATATAACTGCCCCTATCATTTTTCTTTTTTCTATATTTGGACCATATGTGGAGCCCATAACTCTGTGTAATGCTTTCGTCGTTTTTTGTGCTTTGTGTACTACGTATTTTATATGTTCATGCCACCGCAGGTCCCTCCCAATAATCACTCCCAGATATTTTAATTCATGCCCTGTTTTCACACGGTATCCTTTAAGCATCACCTCTGCTTCTCTTTTATTTTTTCTACTTTTTAAGAGCACCGCCTCGGTTTTTTCTGGAGCCAGTTCCAATCCCATTTCCTCTATTTTGTCTTCAATTTGTTCTATTGTTTCGTGGGCCTTTTCCTCGACTTCCTCCATGCTCCATCCCGACACTATTACCGCCAGATCGTCCGCGTAAGCAACCAGTTTTGTATCTTCTGTGTCCTCCACCCTCTCCAATAATCCATCGAAAAATATATTCCACAGAAGCGGCCCAAGGACCGACCCCTGCGGTACCCCTCTGGAGATCTCGTAAGTTTTTCCGTTATACTCAATTATTCTGTTCTGTAAGTATTCTTTTATAATATTAATTAATTGCGGCGCTATTTCTTTTTTCTTCATAGCTGCAATAATCCCGATCCACGGTGCGTAGCCAAATGCGTTTCTTACGTCTAAGGTAATCAGCATACAGATCTTTTTCTTCCCTCTCTTAAACAGTTGTTACTTTTGTTAACATCTCTGGGGTAAGTATATCGCACTCTTTTAGCCTTTTCTGCATTTCGTTCTTAAATCTGTTCACCTCACCTTCCCTTCTACTCCATCTCCACTCTATATCTACTCTTTCAGCTTTATAGTTCTTTCCTAAATTTATCTCAAAAATTATGTTCTTATGATCACTCAAATTCTCTTCCTGATCTACTATCCATTCTTCAATACATTTTATAAATTCGTTGTTGCACATCGTGATATCTATATGTGACATTTGCCCTCCCCTCTGCCACGTCGGTTCGTCGCCTCTGTTCACAATTACTAGATTTTTTTCACTCATCCATTCACACAAAATTCTTCCCCTCTCGTCTTCTTTCTTTGAGCTCCAGTACGCCGATTTTGCATTGAAATCCCCAGCGATTATAACGTTTTTTGTTTCTCTATTTTTTATTACTAGTGCTATTTTATCCAATTTCCTTTTATAGTTCGTAATGTCCTCATTGGGTGTCAAATAACACCCTATAATAGTACCTATATTGGTCTTTAGCGCTATGTATCCGCTTCCCTCCTCCCACCGGTGTACTGTTATCCTTGTGTTATCATTATTTATAACTTTTATAGCCACATCTCCGTCTTTGTTTTTAAACCATCCTCCTGATTCTATCTTTCTTTTATTTGGCTCTGATATTATTGCCAAGTCTATTCTTTTCTTAACGATGTTTCTCTCAAGCATATTCATGGCCTCTGTGCTTCTGTTTGCATTTATCTGTATTATTTTTATTTTCTGCGGCATTTTTATTGGATTTCCTGTCTTCCAGGGACCCTCCCGGTCTCCCTTTCCCCTTTCATTCTCAGGCGTTTTCGTTCCGCCTTTCGTTTGATATTCAATTCCTGTTTAAAATCGTCACATTTACCTGATCCCGCCCTGTGTCCGTTTTGATTGCATATTGGGCAGAAATCTTCGTTTGGGCAGTCTTTGATTGCGTGACCTTCCTTTCCGCATTTAAAGCATTTTTTCCCTCTATCTGGCCCGGTGCAGTCTTTACCCGAGTGTCCAGCACTCCAACATCTAAAGCATCTCTGTATCTCCACCCTTCTCTCTAGGTCGCATCTTGTGAATCCAATTTTTATATTTTTTTGTCTTAGCAGCGTATCGGCTGCCTTTTTTTCCATCCTTACGGTGATCGCCATCGTGTTATCGCGCATAGGCCTAAGGTTACTCATCTTTAGGGTACATTCTGTTTCTCCTATTGCGAGTTTTATAGCCTCCTGTACTTCGCTTCTCTCTATTAGTGCATCCATGCCTCTAATATGTATGGTCTCCATACATCCATCTGCCAATTGTTTGAGGTGTATATCTTTACTGTC